TACAGGATAGGAAGCTGTGTTTAAGCATTAACCACTAAAAGTAAAATTGCAACTCAAGAGAACCAAAATGTATAAAAATAAGTCCACAATGCAAGAACACTGTTCACAGACACAGATAATACTTACGCTAGTAAAACTGCTCAGAACTAAAGGCCTTTTGGGGACTTCTTTCTTTTTTTGTATTGTAATGACATTGTATTCATTGTATATGAGTCTATTCAACCTCATTTTGAAACTCCTTCTATCCATTAAAAAAAGCCTGAAAATAACGTCACTTGATTGTGATTTTGTAAAATCTAAGTTGTAAAGGTTTTCACAGGCTTTGGATTTAGAGGAAACTCTAGGAGACCTTGCTTCAAGAAAAATCAGGGGTGGGGGAGTTGGGATCAGGTGCAGCTTAGTGGTAGAGCACTCACCTAGCATGCCTGAAACTGAGGGTTCAATCCTTAGTACTGAAAAGAGAAAAGGAGGGAAAGAGGAAGAGGGAGAGGGAGAGGGAGAAAGAGAGGAACAGAGAGCCTGCAAGCAAGCCAGCTGGTTAAAATGCAGAGGGGAGATTGCTGATAAGCACGCCTGGCTAGATGGCTGTCATAAGCACACCTAGCTAACTGCACATGACTGAAAATGACCAAAAGAGCTGTGAATGTTTTTACAGCTGAAATACTATTAAAAGCCCAAGGTGTTGAGGTAGAACAGGCACATCTTTTTTCCAGCTGCTGATTATGGGATCGCTATAACTTTGAGAAGAAAAAACACCCAGGTATCTGTGATTCAGCCAAGTTGTTTTTGTCTGTTATAGCAGGGACTAATTTGAACAATTGAAGGAAGCTGTTGGCAGAGGCTAGACCCACCCAGCTTGAGCCCCTGTAGTTTAAACCCCTGGCTGTCATTGTGCTGGCACTTTATACATAGCAATTCTGTCGATCCATGGAGAAACCCTAGCTACCAAAGACACACAGGGTATTGTAGAAGATTGGGTTTCATTTAGTTACGAAATGTGATCTGAATGCATTTATTGGGAACAACACAGTAATTGGAGAAATCTAGTAATAGTGAAATAAGCTTGGGGGGATAATCAAGTATTTTTTCCCAAGAATCCCTACAACATTCTCTGCATTAGAAGCACCTTCTCCCCTTTAAACCGGTCACTGTTAAAAACTAACTAGAAAACCCACATTGACTGACACCCTATTGCACAAACTTTTTCTGTTAGTTTGCAGATTGCTAGGGGATGGTTCCTTTTGTTTATATTATTTTGCCGTGTGTAATTTGTTAGAGAAGTATTCCCTAGAAATTCATCATCCAGACAGTGGGATTCACTGTACCCCTCACCCCAAGTTACTTCATTGGTGGCAAAAATAACAATTGTCCCTTGGGAAGTGAAGCTCATCACTATGGTAACTAATGAAGGTTGCATCATTCTAGGGCACATTTTTAAAAGCCTGGATTTCAACATGGATAGACGCTCTGTCTTATTTTATTCAGTAGCTTAGCAACCTGTGGTATAGTGTTTGTTGCCACCCCCAACCTCTTTTCTCCCAGGAAAGTGACCTATTTAGATATTTTATTGTAGGCACATTTTCATAATGAATTTGGTTCAGTTCTTAAGTATGTTTATGATAATGACCTTATTTTTTTGGACCAAAAATCAGGACACATTCTGTGCCTAGAAAAAGGCTGTTCTGTCTCTTTGGCCTAATGTATGGTCTCTCTACACTCATTGGCTATTAATGCTATTCAAGGGTTTGCTGCTGGCCTGCTTTTCTTCTTATTCACTGATATCTACTATTTAAGTGCTGTGATTCCCAAATCTTAATTTTCAGCTCAGGTCTCACTACTGAACTCCAGGTAGATGGTAGTTCATTCCACAGCGGCTCTAAGTAGATTGTCCCCAGGCTCAGCTTATTCAAGATAAATTCAACATACCTTTCCCCAGAATCTTTTATTAGTGAAACATACCACTTTGTACAAGCACTCCACATCCACGTGGCTCCTATTTATTTTTTGGACTGGGGATTGAACCCAGAACTTCCTACATGTTGGGTATTGAGCTATATCCTCAGTCCTCTTGCCATTTTTGCCTGGTTTACAGGCCACATCCTCCAAACCCATTACTCCAGAGTAACCAGGCCTTCCTGTCTCCCCACAAACAAACAAATAAACAAATATGATTTTGTGATTGGCTCCTTAATATCAGTCCTTCAAAGCAAAATCTATTCTCTTCTGCATGGCTCACAAGGTCCTCCGTAGCTTTTGCCTCCTCCTTTGACCAGATCTGTTTTTCAAGATGGCTACCTGTTGTTTCATCTCCCCTGGTACTCCACTGACAAGAACATGCTCCCATCCCTGCTTTACTTTCTGCTGTGTATCCTGCATTTCTAGTCTCTCTTCTCTAAAAAGCTCTCTCTTTACTTGGTCCAGTACTGCCTAACTCCAGTCCTGTTGAGTTATAAAGTGGGGCTTTGTATGTTGAATAGACACTCACCCTACATTTTAACAGATATGCATGCATCTTTCCCATTACACTAACCTCTACTGCCTTAAATTTGTTTTGTTTCATTTGTTTTTTGAGATAGAGGCTTGTTGAACTCAATATGTAGTCCATTCTGGCCTTGATTTTGTGGCAGTCCTGCCTCAGCCTCCTGAGTGCTGGGATTATAGGCATCTGCGACCACGCCCAGTTTAAATATGTCTCTTAATCACAGTTCTTTTCTTTTTATTCTGGTTCTTCTTTTTCTCTCCCCCTTCACCCCCATTAAATGCAGGGCCTTACACGTGCTAAGCACAAACTGAGCTGCACCTTAGGCCAGATATTTTGTGAAAATTTTTCAAGGAAATATTTCCCATTACTATTAAAAGCTCTTGTACAGCCTGGCGTGGTGGCACATGCCTGTAATCTCAGCATTTGGGAGGCTGAGGCAGGAGGATCACTTTGAGTTCTAGACCAACCTGGGCTACACAGTTTATTCCAGAGCATTTTGAACTACACAGTGAGACCCTGTCTCAAAAAACCACAATAAATAAATAAATAAGCTCATGCACAGGTACAAATTCCCTATGAATGTTATCATTATGTTTATCTAAAATGTATCAGTAAATACTTTGCTTTTTAAAAAAATCTTTTTGTGTTGTGCCTTTTAAGTACGATTTTCAAAAAATTTCAAACTTCTAAATATTCTATTATAAATTTACATTTATTTAGTGAATTCCTAGCCATCCAAATTATACTTTTTATCTCTTGGATGCACTTTTTTCTTTTATAAACTACCATTGTATCACAGAAGGTAAAATAACATTTTTATGTAATTTTATTTTTAGATGGAAACATTTATCAGGTGCCCTAATACAAGTTGGTTTGGAAGGTTTATATTCAGTGAGGATTAAATGTATATGTTAAGATGTTTTGAGAGCTGTTCTTTCTTTAGAAATGCTTGTTATGTTTCTGTTCCCAGTAGAAATACTACTGGGTTTTGTTTGCTGATCTTGTACTTTGCAATTTTGCTTAATTTATTTCATAGTTTTAGGGTTTTTTAGGGTATGTGTATGTGAGTTCTCAAGGGTTTTCCAGATGTAGAATTATGTAATCTACAAACAGAAGTAGTTTTACTTCTTTCCAACTTGAATGCTTTTTATTTATTTGCCTGATTACCCTGGCTAGGACTTGTAACAATGTTAGATAACAGTGGTGAAAGTGAGCATTCTTGTTTCTGATTTTTAGAGGGACTGTTTATTCTTTAACCTCTATTGGTATTTGGGTTGTGAAGAGAAAGTGACATTTCTTTATTGTGTATGTAGTTGGTCTAGTGTTTCTTTTACTGCAGTAGTACCTAGGTACTCATCACTAATTGTTACCAGAAGGTATAAGTACCAAAAACTATGAGTATCAAACCAGTTGTTTTGGCTGGAAAGGATAGTAAGTCATGAGGCAGTTACACAAGTTCTAGCTTGTACACCAAGTACTAAACAAATGACTAGCACTGGGCAAATTTTATGAATCAAAATGCATGAAATTTCAAAGCATTCAAGTACCAAGGTATGCCCATGTTTATAAGATACTCAATGATAGATAGGAGAAAGGATCCAATACAATTTAAAATTGATGACTTAAATAGCCTTTTTTAGGTATCCAGCTCTCTGAGATAGATAAATGCCCAGTCTCAATCTGCTTTTTACTCCCAGGGTGGTTTAAGGATGTGGGGCAAGGTATGTGACCTCTATGATTTCCTGGTTGTGGGAAACTTGACTGTTTCCTTCAATTTGATGTGTACTGTTTCTTCTGGTCTCTAGAGTAATGTTCCTTAGCTTGTTTGTTATGTTTGCCTTGTTGGTACATGCTGAAGATGGCATGGACAGTGTAACTCGTGGTTGACCCTTCTGGCTGGTTAGAACCTGCTGTGGGGTCCCCAACTAGTTCAGTGTCTTCGGCTCCCGTTCTCTGATCTCTCTTGGATGCCCTGTCTCTACCCAGCCTGCTGGCCCGGCATTTTATCCAGCCCTCGTGTCAGGAATACCTGCTCTGCAGGGCCCCTAGCCAGTCCACTAGATCAGAAGATCTGATTCTCAGAGCTTACCATTGCTTGATCATGCTAGGAAAAACTGTCCCTTAGGATAAGTGTCTGGCTTGTATGATTGTGGCCTTACTGTATAATTCTGTTAGGGTTAGATGCCATTTATTAGTTCATTTGATTTCTTTCCACTTTATTAGTAAAACCTAGTGATTCCTCAGGAAGCTACTAGCAGATAAGGTCAGACATTTGGAAAGGCAAAACAACAATGAAAATAATTATCTAACACTATCATAATTATACATACATATATGCATGCATACACATATGAGGAAGATAGTTAAAGAGTCATGCAATTCTAAATACAAAAGCTTTAAATTTAAGGACTAGGATTTTTAATATGTATACAAGGTTAAGAAGTTTGTTTTATGTATCTCACTATTCTTCCATGACTAAAATACTGTGATTTCATGCACATATTTTCTTCTGTTGTAGGACAGTTCGTGTTTGGTTAAAGAGAGACAGCGGGCAGTATTGGCCAAGCATATACCATGCAATGCCTTGTAAGTATCCAGGTCTCTGCCCTGCAAACGAGACCTCTATTCCAACTCCGCTTCCTTCTCAGATTGCCTTCTGTTTTCTTCTTGAGTAGGAAAGTCTAAAGGTGGGGAATCTTACTATAATGACAAGTGCCACTTTAAATCATTTTATATTTTCTAAGGCTTTCTATTTAAAATAAGAGAATTGCTCTGAAATTTACTATTTATAATTTCTGAATAAAATTAATGTAAAAGGACTCTATAGCACATAGGCTTCTGATTGCAATAGTCTTCTGGTTTCTAACTTTTTGTTTAACTATTTTTGGAAAGTATGTCTTTAGACAATTCCAAATTTTCCTATTTCGTAAGTATTATGTTTTTGCATTATTATTATAGCATTTATTGAAATTCAGGACATTCAACGTTGGAATTCAGTTTTCAAAAGGATTTGCTTAGGACTAAAACATTCTAATTAAGAAGTAGATTTCATTTCCCCAAGATCTGACTGGAGAAATCTGTCCTTGCAATCACTGACAGATAATGAATCTTCCAAATATACTGGAAAAAAGAAAAAGACAGGAGTGTTTCTTAAAGTGTCCCACTGGCAGAGAAGTTCCTTTCAAGGTGAATAACTGGCTCCCTCAAATTAGGAAATTTCATTAGTCTACTGTTTTATCTTTAAAATTAGTTCCTATTCCATGTTTATTTTAGTGAAAAATTATTTAAATTCATTATGAGTTATTTTAAACATTTTTTTCCCTTCCTTCAAACCTTAATTAAAATTGGCACCCCTGGAACTGGGGATTTAGCTCAGTGGCACTGCGCCTGCCTTGCAAGTGCAAGGTTTTGAGTTTAATCCATGATACCAAAAGAAAAAAAAAATGGCACTCTAGAAAAACCTTTTAGGTTTGTTGTTTGGGTTCATGTCCTCTGGCTTACTGTATGTGTACACCTCATCTCTTGGTATAAATATCCCAGTATCAGAAGTACATGGCACTATATACAACCCAAATAAATTAATGCTGAATTATAGATGTGATTAAGTTTGTGCCTCTGGCAAAAGAATACTGTAATAATAATTTTGCCTGTTTATAAACAAATGAATTACCAAGGATATAATGGTTTCGGTAATTTTCAAATTATCTGTGGGGCTTTGCATGGTTTTAGAATTTTGTAGTAAATAAATGAAACCACAAAGTTGAAGCAAGTATTCAGTCCATTTCTGTAAACAACAAACTTCTTAGAATTTTGACTACTATATTTTCCTTTTATTTTTGTGCTTCCATTATAATCCATTATAGGATTTAGACCCAACATTACAGGTCCAAAAGAAAGGCGGTCTTGTTAAGCCATGGCACTGATGATAATATAGGAAAATAGGAAAGAGAAAGAATTCTCTGATTTTTTCCCCCTAATTTGTAAGTGATATTTCCTGGTTTTTCTTTTATTTGCTTCTTCATCAAACTTGAAACACTATCTAACAGGAGAGAACAGAGGAAGGGATATCACCCAGCAAGTTGAAGTTGGCCCCAGGAACCAGTAGCTCCCAGACAGAAGCAAGGTGAAATGATGGGGACTGAGGGTTGGCCAGGTAAGGAGCCTTCTTGTGGGGAGCATTAATAGGAACCCCATGAAGGCACAGGGCCCTAAGCCATATCTTACCCATCCTTTCCCTTCGTATATACACATATACATTTTGAGGTATATGCTGTCTTTATTTGGTTATCACCAAGAATCAGAGAAGCCTCTCCTTGCATTTTCATCAGTTAGGCTCTACATAAGAATGACTAGAAGTTATTGTCACCCCTACACCTGACATAGATATTCAATAAATATTTACAGAAGGGTTGAGTTTAATAAATACAATTTCCCTGAAAAACATTACCATCCAATTTCTTAATGATCGAACGTGAGGTCTGAGAACAAGGATCCTCTAAATTATTTGTGTATTTGACTATGGCATTGTACTAAAGGGAGTTTAAGAAGGACTATTTTACTATTCAAAGTGTTGTCAGTATCACCTAAGAAATTATTAGAGCTTCATTAGAGTTCTACCCCAGGGCCACTAAATCAGAATGGGCATCTCAGTGAAATCTCTAGATGATTTATTTGAATATAAACTTTGAGAAGATTCACCTTGTAATGTTATAGCCAATATGCTGTTGATCTATATAAAATTATTTGAATGAACCCAGGAAAAGCCTCATGTACGTGTAGCATTGATTTTAAATGTCTAGATGTAAGTTTACATGTTAGTAAAGCAAACATTTGCTGGCACACTTACTGTATACATGCCACTGATGTGGGTGCCAGAGATCTGCAGGTGAACAGGATACATATAAAGTCAAGATGATTTTTGGAAATTTCAGTGTTGGCTGCTTCCACTGATGATGCACAGGTAAAAGAAAAGAGAAAAAAGACTGTTTTTCATATTTGTTCAGAAGTCAGTTTTTACGTTCCTAGAAATCTTACATAGTAACACGACACTGACCTCTGAGCAAGAATCTAACCTTTGTTTAACTTGAGAGAGGCCTAAGCTTATTGCAGAAGAAAGTAAATTACCCTTTGATCAATTAGAGAACCTGAAATAGATTTGAGTTTCCAGGGGATTGTTTTGCAGTCTTTTTTGTGGAGAAGATTTTGTTAAGAGGTTACTTATCATTCTCAAATAATAGTTATGTACATTATAAAACAAGTAAAAAGGAAAGCATATAAATCCAGAGGTTATAAAATGACAGCACAAGGCAGATATAACTATATTTTGTGTTTACACTAGTAAATAATTAGTCATATTCCAAATATGGAAGAAAATATTCTGAGCATTTAAAATGTGGCTTATTTTGTCCACTAAAATACCCTTCTCCCCTTTAAGGTACTGAGGATTGAACCCAGGGCCTTTGCACTGAGCTACTTCTTCAGCCTTTTTTATTTTGAGGCAAGGTCTCACTGACTCAACTGCCAGAGCTGGATTTGCACTTGTGACCCCCCTGTCAGCCTCCCACAGTACTTTACTGGAATTATAGGCATATGTCAACATTCACAGTTTACAAATACCTTTTAAATAAGGTATTTGTCGTGTTCTCAGCAGAAGAGTAGATGTTTGGTAACTTTGAGAAGAGTAAATTTAATGGAGGTAAGAGAACTGGAGGCATTGTATAAGAAAGAAAGAATTAGTAAAGGTGGAGTTGGATAACAGGAGTCAGCTCAAAGGCAGGGTGTGAGGAAGCTGAGTAACCCTGAAGGGAGTGGCAAACAAGAGAAAGCAGATGATAAACACTAGCACTTTAGAAAGTCTTTATCCTTTGTCTTTGTCTTTGTGAGCATCTCCTTCCCTTGGAGAAAAGAAGCCTGGACAAACCAGATTTGCCTGGTTAAGGCTGTTTGCCCCTGGGCCAATGTGGTTTTCACAAGAATTTAGCATTTGGACTACAAGGTGCTAGTTTCAGCCTAGACTGTTCTCGTTGAACTGGGAATATATAAACCCAAGTGGGACTCCAGCTGTGTGAGTGGATGAACTGTGAAAGCTGATTTTCAGGAAAGGGAGGATGAACCAGGGAGAGTACAGGTCTCCTCCCCAGGAAGCTAAAGCCCAGGCAGTGAGGGCTGAAAGTTTTCCTGCTTTCCGTAATCTCCCTTCTACTCCCACCTCAAATCAGCCTTTGAGTTTGAGAGATATGCCACTGGATATGCCCATTTGCTTAAATTGGCAAAAATGACTTTCCCTTAGTTGTAGCTGCGAATGTTGACTAAGCCCAGACTTGATTGTGTAACTCCTAATTCCCACATGCTAATTTCTTCTGGTTCTCTGATTTTAACAGAGAAAGGACTGAGCCCTGGCTTTGTTGGTGCCACTGTGGCATTGAGCTAAGGATAGTCTGGGAAAAGTGCCAGCATATAAAGAAGGAAAGCAGAAAGTAATATTTTACTCCCTTTATTTTCTTTATACAGTTTGTGCAACCAATGTTGAATGTTTCTTCCATAGCCATACTTTGCAGTGGACTAAGAATATAGTGGTTAAGTATGATAGTCAGTCCTCATCTTCATGTGCTCACAATCTGGTGGGGAAAGCAGAGTCATGACAGAGGAAATAAGCATGATGGAGACATGGTCACAAAGGCTTCTGAAGAAAGTTCCTGTTCTCTAAAGCTTTTGTTTTGGTGCTGGGGATCAAACCCAAGGTCTTGCTAAGCACAAGTTCTACTTCAGAGCTACACTCTCAACCCCTGCTTAGTGAATTTGGGGTGACTGCAGGCTCACATTATAGTTTCTTATAAGCTAGGTGATTTTATGGACAAGTGAAAAATCAGAGCATCTATTTATCAAATATCCTTTCAAAACAAAATATTCTCTTGGTGTCCCCAGTGTAGTTGATGCTGCATAATTGCCTGTGACAGTATCGGTTTACAGTCTGCCCACCTGGGACCCTGCCTTAGTTTTAGTAAACTGGTGAGAGGCCTTCCTCAGGATACTGAATTGAGATTTCAGTTGCAGCAATAAATGTGATTATTTGTTCTAGGCTTCTCATAGATATTATTTCAACCACCATATTTGCATCACACTCCAGAGAAAACGCATGTGAAAAGCACAGACATTCCTATTTTCATGGTTGAGCTATTTTAGATTTACAAAGCAGGTTTGCCACTTCTGGGGGTCAAACAAAAGAGGCTGGGAGGAATCTTGAGTATAAAACCAGGGTGGCAGGTGGTGGTGATTATTCTTACTCTATCTGATGATTGGGTATCATGGCCAGGCTTTTATTGCTGACTTCTCCCTTGGGTAAGGAAAACTGGTAAGTCACCTTGGCTGCCAAAGATGTAGTCAACAGGAGGCTGGAGGAAGTGAGCTTCAGGCTGGGGCATGTTAGAGAACTGGAAAACCACTCTGGGCTCTATTGTTGTCAGGCTGGGCTAGGCGGGTGGAATTTACTTTGGCTCCTGTTTATGAATTTGTCCCCAAAGCAAAACCGGAGACATTTTTTCAAAAGTAGTTACAGATAAATAGCCATACCAAACATAGCAATAAAA